AGAGAGAGAGAGAGAGAGAGAGAGAGAGAGAGAGAGAGAGAGAGATGGTAGGTAGGCAGGCAGGTAGGTAGGTTGGTAGATGATAGATATGATAGAGATAGCAATAGATAGCAATAGCACTTGTATACTGCTTCAGTGCTTTCTAGCCCTCTCTAAGCAGTTTACAGAGTCAGCCTCTTGCTCCCAACAATCTGGGTCCTCATTTTATCAACCACAGAAGGATGGAAGGCTGAACAAACCTTGAGCCAGTGAGAATTAAACTCCAGAATATGGGCAGAATCAGCCTGAAATATTGCATTTTAAAGATTATGCCACCAAGGGAGGGAGGGAAGGAAGGAAGGGCAATAGCACTTAGTCTTATATACTGCTTTTCAGTGCTTTCCAGCCCTCTCTAAGTGGTTTACAAAGTCAGCCTGTTGCCCTCAACAATCTGGGTCCTCATTTGACCCACTTGGGAAGGACAAAAGGCTGAGTCAATCTTGAGCCTGGTGAGATTCGATCTGCCAAATTGCAGGCAGCTGGCTGCAGCAGAAGTAGCTTGCAGTACTGCACTCTAACCACTGTGCCAATGAGGCTCATTATGATAGAGACAGACAGAAAGAGAGAGACAGACAGACAAGCAAGCAAGCAAGCTTTTCTCAAAATGTAGCTAATACTTTACTACTTTGTGGTTACTAAAATTATTCCTATTCACCAATGTTACTATTATCCTTGCTTTGGCATTAGAATGCACATTATTTATGCGCTATCTTTTTCCCACAGAATGCTATTAAATTTAAATTAGTATTTTCTTTGCCACTCGGAGTCACCTGAACTGTGAGATGGTGGCAAATAAATTTGATTTAAAAAACAAAACAAATAAGCATTAAATAAGAAATAGCCGGACAATACAGATATACTTACTTCCACATTTGTGAGTTTAAGTGTTTTTCTACCATAGAATTGAGTGCTAGTCGAAAATGATCCCATCTCCTATCAAATACGTAGTATCCTCTTCCCATTAGGTGACTTCCAAATGAACAGAACTAGGAAAGAGGAGGAAATAAGAGTATTTTAAACGCCACATTAATCTATCGCATTCAAATTGTTGGTTAAACCTTGCTAGCAGTATTATTGTAGTAAAGAATGGCCTGGTTTTCCCCCACTCTTTCACGGGATTTGGAAATTGTGGGAGAAGGGGTGGCAGAACAAAAAGAGGCATAAGCCTAGAATCCCTACGTAATCACAAGCAAATTTAAGTCCAACCTCCCTTGAATTCCCTTGAGCCTTATGTAACCCCAAGCAAATGCTGACTGTTAGTTAAGAAGATTCCTCTGCATAGGTTTTTAGCGATAAATCAGATTAATTGGACCTTGGACTTTCAAGCCTCATAGACGTGACCTTATCTCTCACATTTTTTTGTCCAAACTGTACTTTCAAAAATGTGTGATTCTTATAAAAATTATCATGGCATGCTCACACCAATGTAGTTGCTTCAGGGAATTCAAAATTTGCATTTCAATTATTTGCATTTACAAAAGATAACAATATGAGGCAAAACTTGCCAGTTGAGAAACAAAAATAATTTAACAACAGGGTGCCTAAACAGTTGTGAATGGCACAAACACAGCTAATGGAGAAAAAAATCCCATAATGATGAAATGGGCATTTTTGCATGGATTGCTAGAAATGCAAATATTTGAATACATGTCAACTTACAATCAATTACTGCACATTACAATTTCATGCATTGGTTTTGCCTCTTAACCAGTTAAAGGGATGATGTCTAGCTGAGCAGAGAGTGGGGGCTGGTCTTTCCTATTATATTCAAGGCCCTCATCCTTGGCAAACTTCTTCAGAGTCAAACTCAGAGTTGCAAAGAATTATAGGACTGTAATGCTGTACTCTTTAAACTGAATCTCCTACTGCAAGGTTGTAGAAGAGCAGGAAGAGCTGGGAGCAGAGTTAAGCAAGTAATCAGCCTAGAGTCCTTAAAGGTAAATGTAAAGGTTCCCCTCGCTCATACATGCTTGTCGTTCTGTAGGGGGCGGTGCTCATCTCCGTTACAAAGCCGAAGAGCCAGCGCTGTCCGAAGACGTCTCCGTGGTCATGTGGCCGGCATGACTAAACACCGAAGGCGCACAGAACGCTGTTCCCTTCCCACCAAAGGGGTCCCTATTTTTCTACTTGCATTTTTACGTGCTTTCGAATTACTAGGTTGGCAGAAGCAGGGACAAGTAATAGGAGCTCACTCCGTTACGTGGCGCTAAGGATTCGAACCGCCGAACTGCCAACCTTTCTGATGCGACAAGCTCAGCGTCTTAGCCGCTGAGCCACTGCATCCCCCTAGAGTCGTTATGCTCCCACAAATGCTCCAATGGCTCTTGAATTCCATTGTCCCTTATCTGGCACCAGTTTTATATTGAATGTTAGTTGATTAGATTCTCGTGTGTATGCTTGAGCAATAAATTTTCCTAAGTGCAACTTCCCGATTCTTTGCACCTGACAAAGGAAGATTTAATCTCAGATTAAATTAAACCACCCCCTGCTGGGTATATCAATGTGCTGGATCATCATCTTTTAACAACCTGTTAATCCCTTGAGGGGTGGAGTCTGGGCAACTGAATGGAGCTAGCAGAGTGTTTTAATGGCGGGATGCCTTTCCTGTCGTCAATGCGGAGTTTTGTTCAGCAGATATATTCTCAGTGTGGCCAAAGAGAGAAATATCTGCTTAGGATCGAACTCACAGCTTCCTGATTGCGAGGCTCCACCTCTAGGCCACTGCACCATTCGTGCTGGTTCAAATATACTAATTCTGCAAAAATTACACATTTGTACATACACCGTATGTTTTGATAACTATAAAATACACTGCTCAAAGGGAAGTCCCCTCTAAGCTTACAGAACGGCACTGAAATGTTTTAATTAATTTGCGGGCGGATTTTAGCGGATTCGGGTAACCCAAGAGAATACAAGGTGAAAGAGAATTTCTAATTTGGCAGCAGATGGTTGTAATAAAACTCTAAATTGACACAGCGGGAGAGGGAAAAAAGCAGGAATGAGGAGGCTGTTTGACAGCAGGTTGACTGAAGAGGAGCTGGTTAATATAAATGAAATGAGAAAAGGAATTCAGAAGACAATGATTACCCAGCGTGCTTATGAAAACTAGAGAATTCCAAGACACACTGGATAAAATAAAACATTTGTTTCAAGCTTTTTTTTTTTAATTCATGTGGAGGGATCTCTCTCTTCCCAAAAACGTAAACGTCTGTTTCCACTTTCTCATCACTAGGGTAACAACCAAAATGGCAACAGGGTGTGTGGCCAAAAGCCTGCTAGCTATTGGGTTTTGATTCAAGACCAAGAAAATGAGTCATGTCGCATTCCAGCTCCTGTTCCTTAAATGCTCACCAGACAGAGCTAAGATGCTAAGACCAGGAAGCTCTGTGCTTCATAAGGATGGATCCCAAGACAGCCTATTACTAAGTGGGCAATTACCCTGTTTCCCCGAAAATACGACCTACCCTGAAAGGACTAGCTTGATTTCTACATGTGCGCCCAATATAAGCCCTACCCCCCAAAATAAGCCCTAATTAAGATCCCGCGCACTCCAGAGTGCACGGATAAAAATTAAGCTAGGATGGGGATGGGGGGGTGGAGCTGCCCTACTACTTACCTTTGGACAATGGTAGCCAGGCCTCACACACCCCGACGCCTACCTCACCGGCCCATTTCTTCTACAGCCAGCAAGGCTGGCAAGGCTTTCCTGAAGGCCTCTGTAGCTGAGAACAAAGCTCAGGATCGATCCAGAGCTCTGCTATTGGCTGCAGAGGCCTTCAGGAAAGCCTTGCCGGCCGCAGAAGTAGTAGTTCCTGAAGGCCTCTGACAGCGAAAAGGAGGCCGGGGGTGATGTGCGCAAGTGAGGTTAGTCAGTGGGTGACATCCCCCGAAAATAAGGCATGGTGCCTTTTTTGGTGGCAAAAAAAAAAACAAAAAACCAAGACAGGGTCTTATTTTCGGGGAAACACGGGTAGGTAAACAGGAGGAAACTTCATATTGGTCCACACAAAAACAGTATAAAGAGGTAACACATCTCCTTTTGACAGGAAGGTCCTTATTTTCATAAAAGTTGAGCCATGGTGGCTCAGTGGTGAGAATGTGGTATTGCAGGCAGACTCTGCCCACGGCCTGGAATTTGATCCAGACCGGCTCAAAGTTGACTCAGCCTTCCGTCCTTCTGAGGTCAGTAAAATGAGGACCCAGATTGTTGGGGGCAACATGGTGATTCTGTAAACCGCTTAGAACCACGGCCCCCAAACTTTGGGGCACCAGGGACCAGTTCCATGGAAAGAGGTTTGTCTGTGGACCAGAGGGGGCATGCCCCTTCTTATGACAACTTTCCTGTCACAGTTGTTAAGTGAATCTGCGTTCCCCGTTGACTTTGCTTGTTAGAAGGTCGCCGACGGGCATCACACTACCCTGGGACACTACGACTGTCATAAATATGAATCAACTGCCACATGTCTGAATTTCAGCCACATGATTGTGGGGATACTGCAATGGCTTTAAGTGTGACAAACGGTCATAGGTGACTTTTTTCAGTGCCATTGTAACTTTGAATGGTTACTAAACGAACTGTTGTAAGTCGAGGACTACCTGCAATTCTGCTGCTTCAAGGATATTCATAGCTGGATTGCGCACACCTGCACAGCGTATCTGCTGGGAATGGTCTAAGACAGGGGTGTCAAACTCGATTTCATTGAGGGCCACATCAGGGTTGTGTTTGACCTTGGAGGGCTGGGAGGGGGGCATGGCCAGTTCGACATCACTTGGGGGCACCTGTGGTGGCCAAGTGCTAAGGCAGGACTTCCCTGAGACCCTCTCTCACTCTCATTAACACTCACCTCTTCCTTCCTTCCTTCCTTCCTTCCTTCCTTCCTTCCTTCCTTCCTTCCTTCCTTCCTTCCTTCCTTCCTTCCCTTTTTTCCTTCCCTCTTCATTTTCCTTCTTCTTCCTTCCCCTCTTTCCTTCTTTTTCCTTCCTTTCTCTCTTCCCATATTTAATTCTTTTTCTCTTTCCCTTTCTCCTTTCCTGCCCCTTCCTGCAGGCTCAAATGCAAAAGGGGAAAACATTTCTCCTTTCGTTTTAAAACAGAGCTCCTTTGCTATTTCCAGGCCAACCCTGTGGGCCGGATCTAAGCACCCTGCAGGCGGAATCCAGCTCCTGGGCCTTGAGTTTGATATCCCTGGTCTAAGAGCACATACTTCACATCTGCAGACAGCCAGAGGAAGCTTTTAAAGCAGCCGATCAAGAGCTTCTTAAATGCACTGAAAAATGTGCTCCTTTGTGCCAATGCAAATTATCAAAGGTCTCTTCTGAACGCTGGACGTAAACCTAACATTCAGCTGGCCTTAAATGCCACCAACAAATAAGATTATGGGGGTGGGGGGGAAGGAGAGAATACCCCAAGCGGCCGAGGATGGTGCCCCGAATAGGAGCAGTCTAATTTTTCGGCTTCTTCGGTTCCTTCTCCTTCTCCTTCATCGCTGGATAACCTGCACAGCAAATCTCCTGCCAGGGCTGGGAGAGGCAATTCTTGTACGTTCCCGCTGTGATTTGAAGAGGTGCAGCTGTTTATGCTGTTTGACGAGGAGGATCTGAGGAGAGGTGAAAACATCACGTCTGTAAAATGGGTGGCTAGATAAATTTGATTTTTAAAAAAAGTCACAGGGCCACATCAGGTTCAGCAACGAAGTTCTAAAGGTTATTTCCCAGAAAGAAAGGAGGAAAAAAAAAACGCCCATTGAGATGGTTAATTTAAGAAGCAACTTGTATAACACATTACACATTGGCAAGAAAAAATCAGAACATAAAATACAAGCTGGATGGACACGACCTCGTAGATGAGCCTCACTCTGTCAAGGACCTTGGAGGACTCATCTCTGATGATCCAAGTGCCAGAGCCCACTATAATCGCATTGCCAAAAAAGCATTAAGAGTTAGTTGTTCACCTAATCCTGCATAGCTTCTTCTCTGGTAATATTGTACTGCTAACTAGAACATACAAAACATTTGCTAGACCAATTCTCGAATACAGCTCATCTGTCTGGATATTGCATTGCATATCGGATTAACACAATCGAGAGTCCAGAGATATTTCACAAAAAGAGTCCCCCACTCCTCTACTCGCAACAGAATACCTTATGCCACCTGTCTTGAAATTTTAGGCCTAGACAACCTAGAACTGCACCGCCTTCGGTCAGACCTAAGCGTAGTACATACAATTATCCATTGCAATGTCCTACCCGTCAATGCCTACTTCAGCTTCAACTGCAACAATACAAGAGCACACAACAGATTCAAACTCAATGTAAACCGCTCCAAACTTGATTGCAGAAAGTATGACTTCAGCAACAGAGTGGCCAATTCCTGGAATGCACTACCTGACTCTGTTGTTACATCCTTTAACCCACACTCCTTTAACCTTATTAAACTATCCACTATTGACCTCACCCCATTCCTAAGAAGTCTCTAAGAGGCATGCATAAGCGCACCAACATGCCTACCGTCCCTGTCCTAATGTTTTTTTTATTTATACCCATTTCATGTAATCATAATCATAATCATGTTCTAATTATATCTGTTATCTAATACATGCTTGACAAATAAAAATAAATAAATAACCCTTACGTAGCAGTTAAATTCCTTGGGATCTGGTGAGACTGACCTCTGACAAAATATCCAGATAATCTGACCATACGCACAGGGATTTAAAGTCAGAAAGACTTGAGTTAAAGGTTTCCTATTAAAGCTGAAACATGTAGCGAAATTTTGCTGCGTTCTGCAGCTTCATATCAATTCAAGCCCAATTTTAGTTGATTTACTATGCAGTTGGAAGTTTAAAAGTTGGGAAATATACTCCCGAGTCACCCTTTTTGTCTTAGTTGCTCTCCCTTCTAGCAGCTCTGTGCATACACGCACTGGGAACAGGCTCCCCTTGTTCCTCTGCCTTGCTGCTGCCAGACTCTGAAGGATCCGGAGTCAGCACCCCACTCCCAGATGGTCCTGGCCCCATCTCTGCATCGGACGTAGGACTCTCATCCGAGTCTTCCCCAGACTCCGTGACTGGTCCCCCTACTTCCCCACTGTCTGATTCCGCTGCCGTCTGCACAGGCTGCCGGGGAACCACAACCACAACATTCACTTAACAACCATGTTACTAATTTAACTGCACTGATTCACTTGGCAACTATGGCGAGAAAAGTCATAACATGGGGCAGAACTCCCTTAACAAACATCTCACTTAGCAACACAAATTTTAAGCTCCCTTCTGGTAGTAAGTCAAGGACTACCTGTACAAAGGACTTACAGCTTAAGGCCAGATATTGCTCACCTGGGAAATACTGAGTTGGGCTGCCTAGATTTGACAGTTGATGCGCCTTTAAGTTCTTGCCCAGAGTTCGCAGGTATTCCCATTACAGCATCTGGTCCTGAGGTGAGTTGGCCTTGATGCGCTTCCCTTGCGGATTGTGGGTGTTCCTTGTCTTTCGTCACTTCTTTGTCCCGGGATCGAGCTTTGTGTTCGGCTAGAAGGATGTCGAACTGCTTTTTGCGACCTAAAACTGCTCTCCGATAGTTAAGAGAATGAGTCTAAAAAATATTTAAAAAGGGTTAAAATAATTGTGGCAAGAGATTCAGAGTTTTTCTTTGTTCAAAGTTTCTCTTTGAAATCCAAAGAGATTCAACTCTTAAGAGAAATTCAAGGTTTCTCGTTCTTTCCTTCTCTCTTTACATTAAGTATGATATTGGAAAATAAACCGGATGACATATGGGCCACGGGTTGGACTAGAAGACCTCCAAGGTCCCTTCCAACCCTATTCTATAGTCAGTTTATGTCATCTGTGGAATCTGTACCAGAGGGAAATATTCCTTTGCTGCTAAGAGTAGGGTACGCAACGTGCGATCTGCAAGGGGTTCGGAGGTTGTTAGCTTCTATTAATTAAAGGCAGCATGGCTGGGGATTATAGGAGCTGTAGTTCAAAACACCTGGAGGACACCAGCTGGTTTGATGGGTAGGCTGGAAGGAGTTCAGTTGAAGGTTTATATCAAGAAAGGCAACGCAGCCCAGCTGCTGAGTAAGAAAAAGCCCTTCCAAAAGATCCCACTTTAATAATAATAATAATGATCATTAACAATAGGAAATTCTTCCTGCCATTTTAGAGGACTCTATATTTATCGCAGATGAGCATTAGAAGGAGTTTCCTCAAATCCATGTCATTCTTCTGTCTACAGAGATTATCAGTCATCCAGTTCATGGTTGTCTCAAAGGTACTCTTTCTTTCTTCCCTTTCCTTCCCTTCCTTTCTCTTTCTTTCTTTCCTTCCTTCCTTCCTTCCTTCCTTCCTTCCTTCCTTCCTTCCTTCCTTTTCCTTCCTTATTCCCTTTCTCATTCTCCTACCTGGTGGGACAATGAGTATTGCAGTCTGACTCTGCCCACTGCCTGGAGTTTGATCCTGACCAGCTCAAGGTTGACTCAGCCGTCTGTCCTTCCGAGGTTGGTAAATTGAGGACCCAGATTGTTGGGGGCAATAGGCAGACTCTGTAAACCACTTAGAGAGAGCTGGAAAGCGGTATATAAGTCTAAGTGCTATTACTACTACTCCATCCCTCCCCCTCTCCTTCCTTCCTTCCCTCCCTTATTCCCTTTCTCATTCTCCTTCCTGGTGGCATAGTGGTTAGAATGCTGTATTGCAGGCGAATTCTGCCCACAGCCAGCAGTTTCATTCTGAGCAGCTCAAGGTTGACTCAGCCTTCCACTAGTAAAAGGAGGACCCAGATTGTTGGAGGCAAGAGGCTGACTCTGTAAACTGCTTAGAGAAGGCTGTAAAACACTGCAAAGCAGCATATAAGTCTAAGTACTGTTGTTATTCCTTCCTTCCTTCCTTCCTTCCCTTCCTTCCCTTTTTCATTCTTCTTCCTGGTAGTGCAGTGCTTAAAATGCCGTACTGCGGGCTAACTCTGCCCACAATCTGCAGTTCGATTCTGACCGGCTCAAGGTTGACTCGGCCTTCCATCCTTCCGAGGTCAATAAAATGAGGACCCAGATTTTGTGGGACCATATGCTGAGTCTCTAAACTCCTTAGAGAGGGCTGGAAAGCACCGTGAAGTGATATATAAGTCTAAGTGCTATTGCTATATTATTTCTTATGGGACTGTTTGATACTCATTTTTGGTACTCATCTCATTTCCCAGAAGCAATTGATGACGAGTACCAAGGTAGCACTGTACTAGAATTCTGGGAGTTGAAGCACAGACATCATAATTTTACAGTGACCTGCAAATATTCTGACAGAATAATAACTATAGCCTTCAGCAAGCACGCCTGAAACAACTATCAATAGGATTGTTATATCTGAACCAGGAAGAAAATTTACCTTACAGGTGAGTGACCTTGTGCAGGGTTTCTTAGTTTCAGGGTCCAATACTCCGCAATGTTTATTTGGGTCAAACTCTCTTTCTGTTTAAAAATATATAAATAGGTTCTTTAAAGAAAAAGCAACAACATAAAATTATGCAAAAACTGAAAAGACACGGCAAGACTGCACATCAAAAGAGATGTGTAAAAATAGTGCATTTTCTCTAACTGGACTCCCCTTCCTTTCTCCTCCTGCTCCTTTCCTCTTTTCTCTTCCTCCTCCTCCTCCCTCCCTTTCTCCTGCTCCTTCTTTCTCGTGTTCTCCTCTCCCTTTCTCCTCCCCCCTCCCCTTTCTCTTCCTGCTCCTGCTCCTCTTCCCTCCCTCCTCCTGCTCCTTTCTCTTTCTCCTCCTACTCCCCCTTCCTCCTCATTCCTCCCCCCCCCGCCCCAAGTTGGGCAAGTAAACCATATAAAACCCACATTTTGCCACCTGGATACCACCGCTTAACAGAACTTACAGAGGGAGGTGGAACACATAAAGAATGGGAGTGTGTGTGTGTGAAGGAGACGGGGGGGGGGGGGGGGGGGGGGGGGGATTGGAGGCTAAATGTTATGCCTGCCCATGGATTGTCCTGACACAAAACCCAGGCGGTTGAAAGAGATGACCCCCCCCCCTCTCCTTCCCCCCCCCCCCACCTGGGGTCCCTCCTGTTCTTTCTCATCATTTCACAAGGATGGACCTTCCCTTGGTCTCCTCTAAGTAGGACATACCCAGCTCCTTCAGCCTCTCCTTATATGACTTGCCCGCTGGACCTTCTGTCACCCTTCTCAGAGATTCCTCTTTTCCTCTTTGGTGACCACGTTCTTGCATTCTGGCACCTAGTACAGAACACCAGACTCCAATTGAGGAACAGCCCATGCTGAGAAAGAGGATACTCTTTAGTTACCCTAGCGAGGACACGGCTAGGAAAGGCTACATCACACAGCTGGGGTTGTGGGTTTTTTTGCGCCACGGAAGAACCACCGTGATTGATTGCCTCTCGGCTGCTCCCTCCAAAGTGGAGGTTGTTAAAACGTTTGGTGGGGGGAAATAAAATGAATTAAATTAAAATAAACAACAGTATACGGGGAGGGAAGCCTGCCGTTGTGGGATCCTGCTTCGGTCCTTCTCAAAATGGAAGCTGTCCGCTGGTTGCAGTTGGCTGATACTGCGATGTTGAGTCCTCCGGTTAGTGGGAAAAGGGTTCGCCATGGAGGGAGAGAAGGGGAGTCCCACTGGGAAAAGGCTCACCCGGAATAAAAAGGGGCCAGCTTTGTGAGTGGCTCCATCGCTGGAGGTTTTAAGAAAACATTGGACCGCCATTTGTCTGAAATGGTATCGGGTTTTGGGGTTGGACCAGCACAGGGGTGTCAAACTCTATTTCATTGAGGGCCACATCAGGGTTGTGTTTGACCTCGGAGAGCTGATGGGGGGGACATGTAGCCAGTTTGACGCCACTCCTGTCAGGGACACCTGTGGCAGCCAAGTGCTAAGACAGGACTTCCCTGAGGCCTTCCCTCCCTCTCACTAAAATCTCCTTCCTTCCTTCCTTTCCTTCCCTCCTTTCCTTCCTTCTCTTCTTTTTCCTTCCCTCTTCATTCTTTCTTCCTTCCCCTTTCCTTCTTTTTCCTTCCTTGCTCTCTTCCCCTCTTCCTTTCTTTTTTCTTTCTCTCTCCTCTTTCCCTTTGTCCTTTCCTCACCTCCTTTTCTTTTTCCTTCCTTCTTCCTTCTCCTTCCTTCCTTCCTCTCCTTCCCCTTTCCTTCTTTTTCCTTCCTTGTTCCCTTCCCCTCTTCCCTTCCTTTTTTTGTCTTCCCTCTTTCCCTTTCTCCTTTCCTGTCCCTTCTTGCAGGTTCAAATGCAAAAGAGGAAACGTTTCTCCTTTTGTTTTTAGTTTGTTTTGATAGCCCTCTGCCAGCGAAAAACGGAGCTGGGGGGGGGGCAGCCCCCCTCCATGCCCCATTTTCACTGGCAGGCCGGTCCTTTGCTGTTTCCAGGCCAGTCCCACGGGCCAGATCTAAGCATCCCCCTGGCTGGATCCGGGCCTTGAGTTTGACACCCCTGGACTAGAAAACCTCCAAGGTCCCTTCCAATTCTGTTATTCTGTTATAAATCGGAAATTAAAACGGCAGTGCAAACTTGCTGTAGTGTAGACAGATGTGTTAACTTTGTGACAATCCAACACATTAGGAGTCACTAGGCTGAGAAACTTGCTACAGCTGTTCACTCTTATGCAATGGGATGCAGGAAGTCACTGTTTTAACTCCCTTCATAACTTCTGCCATTGCCAATGAAAACACTGAAATGTTTTCCTTACCGAGCCAAGTTACAATTTAGTATTCGCTAGAGGTTCATGTGACAATAGGGTTTAAATGCAGCCTTTCAGAACTGCTCTGTTGGACAGGTCTAATCCCATCGCTACAGGTAGTCCTTGTTCTGACCTAGGCTTCCCAAAATCATAAAGCAGACTCCTTGTCCCAACAAAACCCCTTTTTATTAGGCTAATGTGAATTCCTCTCATTCACATCCAGCAAAGTCCTGGCAAACAGTCTTTCAAGGGTGAATTATAACCACAGACCTTATCAGGCTTGGAGAGCTGCCAGGCCGATAGCTTCCAAGTGCAACACTGTCCAAGGAAAGACTTGACAAGGAGTCTCTGAGAGTCACAAACAAATCTTCACCCTAATTAAACGAACTAATTGTCTCCTGCAAACATCCCTCCCCTTTTGGTCCTCTTTATTCCCTATGGGAGGGGCCATTCACTGTCCACCCGTGGCTTTACTCCTGAGTCAACCTTTGTTCCTTAGCTGTTCCCTTCTTCTGGCAGCTCTGCACATGCGCACACTGGGAACAGGCTCCAGCCGTTCTTCTGCCCCACTGATCTCCAGCTCCGAAGGCAGCTGACAACTGTCAGATGGTTCTGGTCCCATCTCTGCCTCCAACGCAGAGCCCTCATCAGAGCCTTCCCCAGAATCCAGGACTGGCCCATGTTCCTCCCCAACCTCCTCACTGTTTGAGTCTGCCGCCAGCTCTGCTGGCTGCTGGCAGGCCACAACAGTCCTCAGTTCAACCCCAACTTTCTGCTGCTAAGTGAGACCTTTGTTTAAGTGAATGTTTGCTCCATTTTCTGACCTTTCTTCCCACCATTAAGGGAACCACTGCAGTTGTTAAGTCAATAACACCATTGTTAACTGAATCTGTCTTCTCCATTGACTTTCCTTTGTTGACCTCCAGATGCTGCAACCGTCATAAATATGAGTCAATTGCCAAGGGTCTGAATTTTGATCATATGGGGATGACTGCAACAGTCATATGTGTTAAATATGGTCATAAGTGACTTGTTTTCAGTGTCATTGTAACTTCAAATGATCACTAAATGAACTGTTGTAAGTCAAGGACTGCCTGTACTTAAGAAAATTAAGAAGCTTGTTAATTATTTTACTGAATTTTTATTAAAATGCTAGCCATCTATGGCACAGTCCTAACAAGACTGTGTATATTTACATATAGTCCTTAACTTACAATCATTCCTTTAATAACCTTTCAAAGTTTTGAAAAAACTCACTTACGACCATTTTTCAGAGTTATGACCATTGCAGCATCCCCATCACCATGCGATCAAAATTCAGGTGCTTGGCAACTGACTCATATTTACAACGGTTGCTGTGTCCCGAGATCCCCTTTTGCGACCTTCCGACAAGCCAAGTCAATGGGGAAGCCAGATTCACTTAACAACAGAGGAAAGAAAGGGTCATAAAATGGGGCGAAACTCACTGAACAAAATGTCTCGCTGAACAGCAGCAAATTTTGGGGCTCCGTTAGGTCGAGGACTGCCTGAAGCGATAGGAATTAGACCTGTCCAATAAAGCAGTTCTGAATGGTTCCCTGAGTCTCCAAGCAACCTTCGCTCTGATTGTTTTATCAGAAGGCTTTCGGCTTCGGGGAGCCGTCCAATTATATTCTGCTTTTCAGGATTTCAGTTTTCTCTCTCTTCACTTTTAAAACTGCAGTCATAATTGAAGGGTTGGTAAACTCCCGGTGGGCAGCAAAGGGATGTCATCGTAACAGCGCGCGGAAGACAAAACAAACCTTGGTGGCAAACAATACAGGCAGGGATGAAGGTTCACATGAAGGCAATGTTGATTGATGGGACATGGAAATGGGACACCTACCTTATCCAGGTGTGGCATTTCTCATTGGGAGAAAAACCGACTGCTCTATCATGAGTGCCAGTGAGCACTGGGTTAGACCCAAGTCTAATAGGGTGGAAAATAACCTTTGGTTCTACCTAATCTGTTATTTATTGTCCAGATAACCTGGAGAGCAGTCTGAGAAGTTCCACTGATGTGATCCATGAGGTAACCAACCTCTTGGTTTCAGAGAATTTATACAGGTAGGCCTCAAACCTACAACAGTTCATTTTAGGGACCGTTTGAAGTTAAAAACGGCCTTGGAAAAAGTGACGGATGACCGTTTTCGCACACTTGGGTCACGTGATCAAAATTGGAACCCTCGGCAACTGACTCCTACTTATGATGGTTGCAATATCCCCGGGGGGGGGGGGTGTCATGTAATCCCCTTTTTCTGACCCTCTGAGAAGCAAAGCCAGATTCATCTGGGTAAGCCAGATTCATTTAACCCACCACGCTGCTAATTTAATAACTGCAGGGATTCCCTTAAGGGCCCACGGCGAGAAATGGGGTAAAATGGGGCCAAAAGTCACTTAAGAAATGTCTCGCTTAGCCACAAAAGGGCTCAATGGTGATCCTAAGGCGAGGAGTACCTCTATCTTGTCTTGGCCAAATTATGCTGCAACGGTGGCTCACAAAATGAGAGCCCTCTCATTTGATGGATATTTTAAGCAGAAAGCTGGAAAAGAGCAATCTTGGGAGGACAATCGGTTTCTTAAACAGCTAGGGCGCCATCCAGGGTTGGGCTGCTACCAGTTCGCCCCGGTTTGGGCAAACCGGTTGTTAATTTGATAGCTGGTTCAGTGAACTGGCAAATCCCACCCCTGGCTGTCTCTGCCTGCCCCTCCCCTCCCAGGAGTCCCCACACAGCCCGTTTTGGATCCCAGATAAGTGCAGGGCCCGTGTGGATACTCAGAGAGGGCGAAAAACTGGCCTGCTTCCGGCCTCCAGAAAGCCTCCGGAGCCCGGGGAGGCAGTTTTTGCCCTCGCGGAGCTCAAAGAAAGCCTCCGGAGCCCGGGGAGGGTGAAAAACAGGTCTCCCAGAAGGCCAGAAATGGGCTCCAGAAAGAAGGCAGTTTTCACCCTCCTGGAGGCTTGAGGAAAGTATCCGGAGCACAGGGAGGGCAAAAACGGCCTCCTCGTCATGGTGCAGGAGGCAGACTAGGCCATGCCCATTCAGCAACCAGGCAAAGAACCAGTTGCTACATTTTTTTAAGCCCACCCCTGGCGCCATCACTTGCCACTCAGCCACCAGAGGTCCCTAACGAAGAAGGATGGCATCTCACTAAGTCGTGCTGCTGGTGTCACTTACCTGAAACCCTCTTGTAAGACTTGTTACTGTTTTTAGTGCTGTTTTGGTGCTTCTTGTCTACGGTTGGCACTAGGATGCCTTTGCCGTTTAGAATCTTTTCAGGCGACGGCGGCACCGATTTGGATGTCAACGCGGACTTGATTGGAGCAGGTATGGTGGATGATGAAGAGGCGGAGGAGGTGGCGATGGCAGGAGCGGCCGTCGAGTTCATTTTAACGTTGGCACCATCTGCCTTCACTAGGTTAGGGATTTTCTCTAGGCTGACTACTGGAACAGGAACACTGAAACACCAAAATGGGGGGGAAGTCTTCAAGACATATTTTCTGCACCACTCATACTAACATTACCTTGCCTTTCTTCTATGTGACACTAACACAGGAATTAAAATTTCACTTTGGCAAATAAGTGAAGGGTCCTTGGTGCTCTCTGAGCTTGCTTGTTTTCTTGCAGACGTTTCATTAGCCAAACTAGCTAACATCATCAGCATTAGTGACATACTAGCATTGGTTCTGTAAAATTTTACATAATTACTGGCTGCTTACTATAAATCTGTTAGTATTAAAAACTATCAGCATTTTAAGACATAAAAATTGGCTTTGGTATAAAATAATATGGCAGATATTATTCCATGATTTTACCAATTTTTAGATTTCCTATTATCAATATTTCAACTATGTGCAAGCTTGATTTTTAGACTTAATTCTAATAAGAGATTGATACACAATCAGGGGGAAAAAATATCGCACCCCCAAAGCTTTCTTTGCCTGTTTCTTTTCTTATGCTTTTGAAATATTGTCTCACGACACATCTATATCACACACAGAGTAATCAAACCAGTTAAATCAATTCCAATTATGTGTTTTACCAGTAAAGCAGAGTCCAAGTCACTTCACACTAATCTGTTTCTGTCAGGTATGTATCAGTATTATTGCTGTGCTAAAAACATGTTAGAGAACCATGCATACATGTATATCTATATACTACTAAGCTTCTCCTGTCTTCTGTAATGTTCAAGTCATCCAAACGGTGCATCACAGAGTAAAAAAAAATTTGAATCAAAATACCTCAAATCCACTTAACTTAAGAAAATGTGTACAAAATCTGAGCTCCTTCCTTCTGTGTAACTGAAATTTCAAGGGTCTTCACATGAGTTGTATTCGCAAAGTGTGGCCACTGCAGTGTCGCCACTATCAGCCACATCATGTGATTGTGATTTCTTACCTTCCCTGCCGGCTTTCCAGTAATAAAGTCATTGGGGAAGACGGCAGGAAGTCGGAAGTCATTTCTGCTCCGCTGTTTTGCTGCCCACCCACGGGCATTCTATTTCCCACGTTTATGTAATGAAACATCTCTGAAATGATGACCACCTAGTATTATATATGAAGCTGAATTATGAAACATCTCCCTTCTCTTAAAGAAATCAAAACTGAACCAAAACTTCATGTTAATGTTTTGGGGCCCTGTTAAATTTCTCATAATCAGGAACGTGTTATTTACGTAACTGTAGTGAAAACATCTTAACAATGGTGGCAAAAGGGTCATGAAAAAAAACACCTCACTTAGCAATGGAAATTGTGCTCCCAATTGTGGTTGTAAGTTGAGGACACTCTGTTTAAAGATCTGGTCAACTGACAGGCCAACTCATATAGTAGCTATATTTCTTTGCTTCTTTCTAAGACCAGAAGCAATCAACTTTTTGACAATCAAGGGTCATTAGATTAATATTTTTGCTGTGGTGAAAAGCTGCAGAATGGGTAGGGCTAACATCACGCACGTGACAGGACTGCCTTTTTCAGGTGCAATTTGGGAGAAAGTTTGTTTTTTAATTTTGATGGAACCACTGATGAAATTACATTACAATTTTAAAGGCTCCCTAAAAGCTCAAAATGGCCCAAAAAACTGGACCAACCATTTTCATGTACAGGTAGTCCTCGACTTACAACACAGTTCATTTAGTGACCGTTTGAAGTTAGAAAGGCACTGGAAAAAAAGGGACTTACGAAGATTTTTCACACTTATGACCATTGCAGCTTCCCCATGGTCACGTGGTCAAAATTCAGACATATGGTTACCCAATTCATACTTATGACTGTTGCAATGTCCCCTTTTGAGACCTTCTGACAAGCCAAGTCAATGAGGAAGCCAGATTCACTTCACAACTATGTTACTCCTATTAACAACTGTGACAAGAAATGGGTCCAAATATATTTAACAGCTGTCCTTGTTAATAACAGAAATTTTGGACTCAGCTGTGGTTTTAAGTCAAGGACTATCTGCACTAAGGGAAAACTAGGAAGTTTTGATATCTATTCCTGCAATCTAAAGAAGCGTATCATAGAACTGAAAAAAGTACAACAAAGAATAATCAAAATGACCACAGCTTACCTGTGCTCTTTGCTTAAATCACTATTTGACAAAACATATTTACCCATTTAAGATTTTATGATCGCTATTCATTGGTGATATAAATAACTTGTTTTCAACCATCTCAGAAGCAGACTTTTTCCCCTCCCAGTTATGAGGTTTAGGTTGATTTTTCAAATAACTTTTAATCCTAAAAGACTTGCCATGTAAAATAGTCTAACTATTTTACATGGCAAGTCTTCTGGATGATTTCCTATCCAGTGTTTCTCAACCTTTTAAGATGTGTGGACTTCAACTCCCAGAATTCCCCAGCCAGGAGTTGAAGTTCACACACCTTAAACTTGCCAAGACCACTCCAGAATATTCCTGCTAAGTTTAGAACCACTCATTTCAAACCCAAACCGGAGCATTATGAGCTCAAAAAGTTTGGCGCTGAAATCATTTTGTACGCTAATGCAACTAATTGAAACCATGCTTGTTTCTAAATAAAACCACATTTGTTTCCTTTCTGAGAGCATTTTGTTTCTGATTGCTATTTTGTAAGACATTACACAAATATCTGAAGTGGAATTTTTAAAAAAATCTTAAAATTTCCATAAGAATGCTAGAAGAGCCCATTAGGGTTTCCTTTACTTTTAATCTTGAAAAAGTCTCGCACAACATAATTATGTTGTATGAGACTTGAGTAAGTTTTGCCCCATTTTATGACTTTTCTTTCCACGTTTGTTAAGTAAATCACTGCAGTTGTTAAGTTAGTAACATGGTTGTTAAGCGAATCTGACTTCCCCCATTGACTGCTTGTCCTAAACATGAACCAGTCGCCAAGTGTCCAGATTTTGATCAAGTGACCATGAGAATGCGGCAATGGTCATGGTGAAAAATCATCATGTCACTTTTTTGGTGCTGTTGTAACTTCAAGCAGTCACTAAATGAACTGTTGTAAGTCAAAGACTGCATGTATATGTTTATCTATATGTGTATGTGTATGTATATATTTATGTCATCATCATCTCTTTTAATGACCCCCAAATCCCTTGCAGGGTGGAGTCTGGGCAACTGAATGGAGCTGAGGGTTTTACTGGCCGGATGCCCTTCCTGTCACCAATGTGGTGTTGCATTCAGCAGACGTATTCCCATTGTGCCCAGAGAGAGAAATATCTGCCTCTACCTAGGATCGAACTCGCAGCCTCCTGATTGTGAAGTGAGAGCGCCACCTCTGGGACACCTTACCACTCATTGGGCATCCCTCACAACCTGGACACAAAATGTTTCAACTCCTCCCCTCAGGATGGCGCTCTAGGGCCCTGCATGCCAAAACAACTAGACGGAAATCTAATATTGGAAATCTAATACTGAGAAAAGAATATGAAATCAAGAGATTTGCAAGAGTACCAGCTTACCAAGGTTTATCTCTCGAGACCTTTGAAGAAAAAACCATGTGCTGTTTGCTACTAGAGGTAATGAGATTGTCTTTGGGAGTTTTGAATGGCTTTGTGTTGTTGTTGTTTACGGAGTTATGGCCACTGATGCAGGATTTCGGCTTCATCTGTATTAGGCATGCCCTGGAATTGCAGGGTCCTGGAGATGCTGGAGATGAGGAAGGTTTACACATTGAACCGTGTCTTCGTTCTGCAATAGGTAAATATAGATAGATAGAACAACAATAATAAATGAATAAAAATAAAGGCAATTATGGAAGACAAAGCAAAAGGAATACAAACATATACAAATATGGATGAAAGAGAATATTTGAACTGGGTCGAACTGTGGGATCTTTGCTGCCCCAGCTTGGTTGTTTTCTTGCAGACATTTCATTACCCAACTAGGTAACATCATCAGTGCTAGAAGGGAGGGGGGGTGCTCAAATGAGAACAAACCTCATAACCTTGTAACCAGTGATGGTATTTGACCGGTTTGGCCTGGTTCTGGCAAGCCAGTAGTAGCAATGAGCAGCGAAGATGGAACCGATTCTCTCCACCGCTCTGCTGTTGGGCCCACCTGCTTGCCCAGTCTCCCATACTCACTTTTATCCGCTGAATTTGAAGCGCAGCTGCTTTGCGCGGCACAGAATAGCACCACATGGCAGCTGCCGAAGCGACCGGGATCGTTCAGGCTTGCAGGAGGCGAGTTAAAACACCTCTACGCCTGTGCAAAGTGCACGCGCATGCACGCAAAGTGTGTGCACGCATGCAAAGCGCACCCGCCAAGCCACGCCCACCGAACCGGTGGCAACAATATTTGAATCCCACCACTGCTTGTAACACAGATGATGTTAACTAGTTGGGTAATGAAACATCTGCAACATCTGAGATTGGAGAGCACCAAAGGCCCCACATAAAAAACAAGTCAAAGCATTGTACATCCTGCCAAACTGCTATAGACATACAGTATAACACCAATATAATTTGGGATGCTTTCCCTTAAAGGCAACCCATAGCAGGATAATAGCAATAGCAACAGCACTTAGACTTAGATATTGCTTCACAGTGCTTTATAGCCCTCTCTATGCAGTTTATAGATTCAAAATATTGCCCCAATAATCTGGCTCCTCATTTTACTGACTTCGAAAGGATGGAAGTTTGAGTCAACCTTGAGCCGTCCAGAATCGAACTGCCAAACTGCTGGCAACCGGCAGTCAGCAGAAATAGCCTGCAGTACTGCATTCTAACCACTGCACCACCACAGTGTAACAACAATAACAAAAATATCAACAATACATTCAGACTGGTATTTTCAGTTTTCTTTGCTATGTTTTTCAGAAGCAGTTTGTCATTGTCCTCTTCCTAGGGCTGAGACAGAGTGACTGGCCTAACTCAGGTCACCGAAATTGGCTTTATGCTCAGGGCAGGAATAGATAGCCTGATGCCTTAAATACTACAACCAAACTCTCTCTCATCCAGTCTTTAAGGACACACAAAAGTGTACTGTGTCTCTTAATTTTACATCCTTCAATGTACTATGGAGTATGTTTTTGTATGAGCTTTCTACAAATATAAACAAGCGAATTTGCAATCCTCCTTAAAGCACATTAATTTTTATTTCCCATACAAAAGAGCAATCTCATGAGACAATACTTCAGAAAGCAAAAGTGTGTTTTTTTCCAAACAAAAAGAAGAATTACTGTAAAATGCCCACCCTTAATTATATATCTGTTTTAATTTTATTGTCTTCCTATACGTGAGAGGCATCGAGTATTGAAGCTAAGTAGCATTTTCACTAATCAGTTAAAACCTTTTAAATCGTCTCAAACATTTTAGCCCATTTTTTAATCAGGGTTATGGTATCCCAAGAATGTGCCACGAACAAAAACGTTAATCTCCACATTTGCCTGGAATGTGCTCCACAGTTGCAATCTATTTACAATCATTCTGTTACGATTTATTACAGGAAATCCAACGAGGTGAAAGAAAATCTTTAAGTCATTAAACTTTCCTAGTTCCACCATTTCCCAACATTTATGTTAGTTAACATTCACCAATAGCGTGGGCTAATTATACATCAATGCATTGTGGAACTGAATTGTGTGATTTTAGTGAATAATTTAACAACGCACACAACATAAAACTGCCCAAAACTGTTCGCTTCTTACTAAATTCTTCAATGAAGACAAGAAAAAATAATAATAACAAAGCACTGCAAATCTTAAATTAGAAAGAGCCCAAAAAGTTGGATTTCAAAAAGCTAGTATCATATAAGTATGATTTCATAAATGGCGAATGGAAGAAGAAAACCATTTGAAGCAACAAATATTTTATATTTCTTGTTTTGTTTCAACTGGATGTGCCTCATTTAATGCTAAAATCCTGATGATTTACGTTATTGGCAACTGATGCTTTTTCATTTCTGTTTGTAAAAATTGTTCATAACTTAGTGTCTTGCAGATAGTCCTCGACTTACACCAATTCATTTAGTGGCTGTTTGAAGCTACAACGGCACTGAAGAAAGTGACTTATGACTGTTTTTCACGCTTACAACCATTGCAGCATCCCTGTGGTCACATGATCAAAAATTGAGATGCTTGGAAACTGGCATGTACTTATGACGGTGACAGTGTCCAGAGGTCATCCACTTGTGTGACCTTTTGACAAGCAAAGTCAATGGGGAAGCCAGATTCTCTTAACAACCATGTTACTAATTTGACAACTGTAGTGATTCACTTAACATCTGTGGCAAGAAAGGTAATAAAATGGGGCAAAACTCACTTAACAACTATCTCACTTAGCCACAGAAACGTTGGGCTCAATTTAGGTCATAAGTCAAGGACTACCTGTATCTTTATGTATCAGATATAACCATCTAAAATATACTGCAATGGAAAGGAACAACCAAGATACATTTCAAAGCACCAAATTACTATTAATCTTTGCCTTTCACTGTTTTAATTATGTTACCATGTACAGAAATTGGCTGACTGGAAAAAAAATTGCAAAATCGTTATTGCACGATAACATGGTTATCAATTTCAGGCCTTAAAATGACAGTACAAATACATCAAGCAAAAAAGTAAACTTCTTTTGGACAGCCACAAGATTCTGAATTAGTATTTAAAAGTGTAAAAGTATCATGGATAAGAAAATAAATAAAATATAGCCTTTTAGATTATCGTAGATTATTTTTTTGCCCTACTAGAGAATCCAACAATTCATAAAACGTACAATCTATGTAGCAAAAATTAGATATACAGGTTGAAATAGTCCTCCTTTAGAATTGGGAGCAGTTGTTAAATTAACTCTGTGCTGAATGGAAGGAGGCATTTCTACATTTTTTTACATTCTTGGTGAAAAGATCTAAAATAATTTGCAAGAAAGGGCTAGGTTTCCATTGTATAAAGGAATGGGTCATAAAACCAAATCTTTCCTGTTTTGTCCGTATAAAGTTGATTGAATTGAAGAAACACAAGACTGAATCTTGGCCCCCCAAAAAGAGTTTTGGAATATTGTACTTACTAGAAAATGACATTTCTCTCAGACTGACCGATTAGCTTCTTCTCAAGTTTTTTTATTAAGTGCAGAAGCAATCAATTTTGTCTTTTCGCAGAGGCTGTGAAAATATTTTTAGCTGCTATGCAAGCATTCCTTTCTACCCGTCACAAAATAATGTAGAGGTTACTAATCGTGGTAGTTGATACGAGACACATAACCCAGTTTAAAATGCTCCCCAGTTCAAGCAAAGCAAAGGCCAGGCATATTGTATAAGATTTTAACAACCAAACATCGCCAAACCAACCAAGAATTGAAGTACCTGGGCAACGTATGGTTAAAAGGCAGTTTGCTATGGAGCCAAGGGTTGTAAACATTTTGAGTACTTTCACTTTCTCTGTGACAAACCTTAGCACACTCTGTACCCTGCTCAATTCGGATTTTAAGTGAAAACAAGAACATCTACGAACAACAACGCCAATGCGAGAGTTTAAAGGAAGAAACAATCAAACAAACGTTTGTAAAGTTTGCAGGTCTGGACAATGATTTCCAGTGTTATCAAACAAGGAACTGTTTCAGAGTGTCACTTTACAATAATGTAAACAACAAGAAAAATGGCAACGCAGGAGTTCGGTTGGTGCTACTTGGTGTAAAAACTGTCAAAGGAAACCAAATGCCAGACTCACAAACACAGGATCTTCTCTTAAAGCCATTGGCGAAAGTCGCAAACTCCCTGCCACACTTGAAATGACTTTCCTGGGGGGGAGGGTTTTGCAACAACACCACGAGTTAGCCTCCAAAATAATAACGATTAAAAAGTCCTTAATGTCTGCTAAGGAAGGGGAGCAATTGCACGGAATAGTATTCACAGTTAGAATGGAAAACAAACGAAACAACTTACATGGACGCACTCGGCTTGCCAAATTAACTCAAGTCCTAGCTGGGCCGTAAACAACTCGAACGGTGAGAACACAAAATGACTCACGAATGACAGCAATACAATTTACATGGCAAAAGGCTTGGAAGCCAAGTGGTTTCTGCTCCTGCATCAGGGGATTTGCACTCGGGGCCCCGAACTGCTCGGGCTACACAAAACAACACACCCGGTTACACACCCTGTCAGCTCCACCATAACCACGACAACACTCCGGACAGATTTAAGCAACGGGATGATTTATTTTATTTTTTTGCCTTTGGGAAATTGGACTGGATCCTATTCTAGAATAGAAAAGTAGCAGAAGGAGAGGATAACAACGCTACAACAATTACATTACTGCTATCGCAGGCAGTCCTCGACTTAGGACCACAATGGAGGCCCAACATTTCCGTCGCCAAGGGAAACATTTGTTAAGTGAGTTTTGGCCCCACTGTTCTCGCCACGGTTGTTAAGTGAATGGCTGCAAGTTGCTAAATGACCGGTAGTAACATGCCTCATTAAGTGAATCCAGCTTCCCCACTGACAGGTCGCAAAAGGGGTTCATATATGGTCCCCTCAGGGCGCACTGCAACCGTCATAAATATGAGTCAGCTGCCAAGCATCTGGATTTTGATCACCTGACCACAGGGATAATTCAGCGGTTGTTAAGTGTCAAAAACGGTCATAAGTCGCTTTTTTCCACTGCTGTTGTTAAATTTGAACGGTCACTAAATGAACTGTCATAAGTCGAAGACCGCCTGGATTTTGGAAACGTCATTTTGGAGTGCCCCTCA